GTTGATGGGTGGCGGACAGTTTAAATCGAGGCAAGGTTAGATTGACTTTTGGTTGCACAGAAAAAAGATTCAAAATGTCATACAGTTTGCTTGAGGTGAGTTCGCTTTTGAGAAACTTTTTTATTTGCACACCTTCTCCGGGCAAAATGATCACCATGGAAATGTTGCCTTCTTTTTGGTAGTTCAATTGTACAGCTTTGGTGCCAGTTTTGTTGTCAAAGACGTAAGGCATTCTCCTTCGCATGAACATCAGCGGTGTTTTGATGCAAGCTCCTGATGATGTATGAAATAATCCCTCTTCGTAAGTTTCGTATTTGCAAAATGGTTTTTTCCATAATCCTTTGAAGTAAATGGCATTCACCAGAATCAAAACAGTTTCATTGCTGGTCTGCTCCAGAAGCTTATCAATTAGTCCATTAGTGGCTTTAGACACGTCAGTGTTAATGGTGTCAAGTGTTTTTGCTTCCTGTTGACGAAAATCTAATTCTTTTCCAGTGGCATTTAGTTCTTTAGTGAGAATCGACACATATTCAGGTTTCAGTGTAAAGCTAAAAAAATAAAGATGGATTAGTCATATAATTATAGTGTTGACCGACACACTTTTTGTGCGAATACAGCAAATTGGCGACCTTCAACGTGTCTTTGTTTTTCAGCAGATTATTCTTGTTGTTGGCCGCAAACAACTTCACATATTTGTCGGCATCATCACCCTTGCTGTCATTTGGGTTAAACAAGGACTTGACAATCTGGTCTCTGCTTTCTCCATCAGTCCCGGGAAGGAACATCACCAGCGCAGATACGAGCGAGTAGGGCGATAGCACCAGATTACTTCCATCCTTGTGGAGCAGTTGCAGAAGGTCGAGGGCGAATTGGGTGGACTGCAGTTGACCCGAGTTCACAGAGTTTCCCATGTTGGATTTGTTGGGTAAAAAGTGATGAGTAACTTAAAGAAATTGCAGTTGTCACCGTATTGAGATGGATAATAAAACGGGACGCTGGTTGACAACACCAACTGACAAATGCTTGGATTCAAGGACAAGAATGCTGTCCA